CTATGAATGAAATTCATTACTTCCTGTCATTTTAGATCTTCATCTTTTAAGATCTTTTTCTGCTTTTATTTTTTTTTTAAATACTAAATTCCGATGCTTCCGATACTTACATATTAATACATAGAAGGTAAGAATCGCTTTGTACTAATAAAGAAAAAAAAAATAAAAATTTTCTATATTCATATCATAATTTTTTTTTTATTTTTTGTTCTGCTTTTGTTCTTTTTTATTCTATCCAATCTTTTTTGTTAATCTTCTTACTCGTTCGTTCTTTCGCTAATCATTCTTTAAATATGATCGTAAAAAGTGTATTATGCAATCACTATCGGAAAAATTGTTGCTTTGCTTTACGTCTGTTCGAAATTTTGCATTTTGGATCATGATTCAAATATATATGTATATATATATATATATATATATATATATATATATATATATATATATGCGTGTAAAACTTTTTTAATTATAGCAATAAATTGGCTGAACAAATTTTACTGACTGTTTGCCATCGCAGAAAAGTTATATTGTATTGTTCGCTTGAGAATGTTCAAATTGGTATTTAATTACTAATAAACACTTTTTTTACTTAAACATTAGCGAAATAGCCGAAGCGATTTAATCGAAATTTTACAGAACATCTTTGTTTAAAAATGAAAATATTTTATTTGTACTATTATGTAGCATATATAACATAATTAGACATTTGTAACATAATTAGTCATTTGTAGAAAAGTTTGACAGTCATCCTTACTATTTTTTTTTTTTACAAATCCTATTTGTTTGATTTGGTAATGTTGATCACTTTATTATGTAAATGATCTTGTGAGACTCTATACTAACGATGTACTTTGGGTGATGTCGTATACTTTCCCATTAATTAAAGATGCACACGTCTAGATTCGAATCCAGTACCAAAGCAAGGAAGTTCGATACGAGTAAACGATGATTAATTAATGTGTGAACGGAATTGAAATTAAACATTAAACTTTTTGAAAAAATTAATTAGATGGTAATCAAAACGTAGCATAAAAGGAAAGGTTAACAATAATATTAATTTTGTGTTTTGAAAGTAAAATGTGTAGGAACATTAGCAATGTAAATTTAAATTGCTAATAATTGCTAATCCGTTCGTTATCGATTGCTGGGTGAAACTAACTGGGTCACTCCTACACATACTATTTTAATTGTGCTTCATTTGTTATACGCATATAGGTAAACATCTTACATCTCTTTAACAAGCAATTAAAGGTCTTTGACACATGTAATGAAATATCGTCACACTGCTCGTGGCTTTAAATCAAATCACACTGTGAAATTATCGTATTTGTCATAATCTGCGCATCAACGATTATTAATTCAAAATTAAAATTCTTTAATTTTAGATAAAGTATAATTAAATCAAATTAAATTAAAATTATACAGTTAAATAATTGTTTTTTTTTGTATAAGAAATAAATTTTTAAGATCCATTTAAATTCATTTTTTTTTCCATATGTATTGCTCTTTAATAAGAAAAATTTGATTGTCTTATATATTAACAATTATTAACAATTCTATATATTATACATTCTATATATTAACATGTCTAAATGTTTGTTCATATTTCCCTTTCGTAATCCAATAATTTTTCAAATTAAATTCAATTTTTACAAAAAGATTTGTTTTTTGTTTTTATAATCGTACAGTCAATTATTTAAATTGGAAAGACAAAATGTTCTAATAATTTTAAGGTATGTAACAATATTATTTTCTTAAAAGGATTTTTTCCGAGATAAAATTGTTGTTTGCATAATTGATGGATCCTGTATATTACAAAATTTTATTAAAATCAAATTAAAATCAAAACTTCTGGATTAGAAATTTTCCCTTATTAAAGCACAGGCGTGTATATATTTCATCGATGAAAAAATAATTTTTCTACTACTATTATTTGATCAGCATTTATAGAATATTTCTATTGATTCAGCGATTTCAGATATTATTATTTATATGAACAATATATATGTATAAATTCTCCATGTATGGATAAGAGGTAATAATATCGTAACTGTGATAATGTAATAACAGAGGAAACATTGAAAAATATTGTTATAATAGAAGCGAAAATTTGCTAAAGAGAAAGAAAGATCGGAGATAAATTGATTTTGCAAACGAAATCTGTACGTGTTTGATTTATTATTAGAATCTCAACTTAAAGCCTTATCCCTACTAAAATAACAATAAGGAAGTTACTTTTTTCTTTTGTTGTTACATGTTCCAAAATGTTTTTCTCAAATAACAACTTATAGAAACGTTTTGTCCACATTGAAGAAACATAATTTGAGAAACATTTATGTTTTGTTGGTAATAAAAATCTGAAAAAAAAAAACGTTCATTAACAAGTGACGACTTTTTTAAGTTATATGGAACATCAGGAAAAAGTTCTTCATTGTTACTTCAGTAAGGACAAGTTTTAATAATCACGCTTAATGAGAAATTATAGAAATTTTCCCGTCAGTAGTTGAGTTTTTGGAAGTAAAGTATTGTTAAACTCCGGTTACGTTTCTTGTTATTCAATTTTAAATTTATTACGTTTGTTTATTATATTTATTCAAAGGAAACGATCTTAGCTTGTGACTGAACGTAATGAAGTTAAAGTTTTACTGCTGGTATTAAAGTGCGATCATAAATTCATTATATATATATGCATAGTATAGATTTAGTGCGTATTTTTACTGAATTATTTATTCTTTAATTTGTTAGCCGAATGACGTACATCAACATATGTATGTATGTATATTGTACCGTTCCTTGTTAAATTTGCTTGAAAAAATGCTGTGTCAACTATAATAATCAATCGAACAATCATTTCATCGTACTTTAATTTTGTCATCGTTGGAATATAAAAAGAATTCGTTTAGATATTATAATGGATGGATTTAAAGGGATAAATTTTTTCTTGGCAATAAAATTGATCAGATGTTTCTGCGAATTCTTTTTCGAATACTTTTAAAATGTTCAAAAATACAATACGATTGTGATACTAGTGCAAGAATGTGAAGTCAAAGAAGTACAATAGAAATGAACCTCTTTCAATGGATACTACTACTTTTTATTCTTTTATTACTCAACCTTTTCTCACTCTTTCTTTTTGTATTTATTCTCTTTACTTATTGATTCGTATTCCCATTACTAGAATCTATTTAAATACTTCTACTCGCGCATCAACTCTATTTTTCTTTTCTTTTTTAATTTTTATCTTACTCTTTCTCTCCATTATTCATAAATTATCAAATAAAAATTGCAAATTTATTATATATCAAATATTTTAGGACAATATTTAAATGAACATACATACAGTCATTTTATTTCAATTAATTTCGTTTCGATGAACGCGATATATGTAATCACTTGATTCAATTTGAAATCCATCCCGATCCAAATAATATCTCGATAAATTTCGAGTTTTATCCCAAAAACTAGACGAGGTATGATCCATAAAACTGAAACGGAAATCTATACAGTCGATAAAAATATACCAGAAGTAGGAGATAGTAGGTGGGAGGAAGTGGGTAGTAGTGGAATAAAGGTAATCATATCCTGCGAGAATGAATTTTATTCAGTTTCTCTCGTTTTTTCTTTTTCTTTTCCTTGGAGAACATTTCGAGGATTGAACGTTATTGGAAAATATCGAGCTGGCATCGTACAAACGGCAGAAAGTGCTGGTATGTAAGATTTTTTCACAATCTTTTCATCGACGACGGAAAAATTGTTCTCTCTTCATTCGGCATATCTCTGTACTGGACAGAACTGCTTCTTAAAGAGGAACTTCGAAGTTCGGCTTATGCTCGTTGTTTATAAAAGAGAAGAATTTTGATTATAAAAACGATATCCGTAGCAAAATTTTTCTCTTTTATTATAAGAGAATAACGATCAGTGTTGTTTGAAAATTAAGATTATTTAATTTTACTACTAAATTTAATCGTTGGATATATATTATTTTTTTTATTTGAAGTTTTTGTTAGATTGAATTTATGCGTTCTTAATTTATTCACACATTGACAATTTTTATAATGGCCGATTAAATAATTTTATCACTTAAAATTTTTACTTTTCTCTTCTGATATACGCGTGCGTTTTTTATTTTCTTTTTTTTTTTTTAACTGATTTGGTGTCTTGTGAACGAGCTCTTAGTCATTCAATTCGTGTCAGAAGAGAAGATCAATTTTCAGTTCGACTAAACTTATGGATCTTTTTTCTTAGTGACTGGCTGGGTCATGCGTTTGACAAAGGATCTCCTTGTCTCTCATGTACCTTTGTCTTCCTAATATACTCTAATATAGCAGCTATGTTATAGTATGTAATTTTATCCTGCCCATCTATCTCCAAAATCAAGAAATAACAGATGGCATTGTTAAGTCGATACATTTACCGCTACTGATATTCTCCTTAGTTTAGTATAAATATATATATATATATATATATATATATATATATATATTTCCATCAAGCGTGATGGGTAACAATGATTAAAAAGAAAAAGAAAAAGAAAAAAAAATATTTTTGTATCTATTTTTTTTTTCGAAGTAATACATCAAGCATTCGCATTATTTCAGATAATATTTTATATGATGTTCTGTGATATGAAAGGTACATATAAAAAAAAAAATCCTTTCCCATCGTAGTAAATAATAAGAAGGTATTTTTTTTCAAGGTAATAAATCAATTGAAACAAATATTGAAAAAAGAACTTTTCTTATATTTTATCGTTATGATAATACCGATAAATTTACGTAACTCATGGATAATAACTGTTATATAGCTCGCTATAGAAAAAAAAAAAAAAAAAAAAAAATAGTGCGGTCGTAGTCATAATATTTTATCTCGCGACGATATATCATGTACATTTTTTTCCGAAATAATTCAGCTTGTTTCGGATAAGAATGATGATGATCGTTTTATACTTATAGTATTCGATTGTTCTTCTCACGAAATTTATGTTCATTCTTTTAATGTTACAGGTATTACATCCACGTTCATCGATGTGATTGTTGATCCTGAATAGAATGGGTATTGAATATTTCTGTGTAATTGAAGAAAATGGAATTAGAAAGAATTACACATCTACACATACGCACATCTACCCAACCAGTCATAAACAACAAACATACACACATAAAACAAAGAATATATTTGATGGTTGTGTTTTGACGTTGTACAAAAGGAATGTATTATACGAGTGGAATGATTTCATGACGCTCAATTCGACTAACGAAGTTACTAAAGGTGTCGCAAATTAAATATAGAAGTGTAAAATACGTATACTATATACATATGAAAGAATATGAATTAAAAATATTTCCATTTAAATAATGAATCGAAACTTTGTAATGTTTCGGCTTTTTTTATTTATTTATTTTTTTTTTTTAAATAAATAAAAACAGCGAAATTCAAGATACTATAGTCAATGAAGTTGTACATGCAAGAGTGAGATAAATAATAAAAACATATAGTATAATTTTAAATAAGACTAATAAGCTTAATGATAAAACTTTACCAGATCCATCGAAATACAGTTAGCGACACGAAATCCTTCCGCCGTTTAAAAATTAATATTGTTTAAAAATGTAAATATTTCTTGTAAAAAAAGGAAAGAAAGGAAAAGATGGAGAAAAAGGTAAATTGTTAAATTAAGATAAGATAAGATAATTACATTTACGATATTATCGAAGATTATTAAGATTTCGAGACGTGTTAATTAAATGAGCCCTTTTAATTATTACACTATTATTAATAACATTGACTGATTGTAAACGAGCTAACTGAACGAGCTTTCGATAAAATTATATATATATATATATATATATATATATATATATATATCTAATTTATTTATCGTTTAAAATAAATAAACTGTGTGTGTACACGAAAAGAAGACGACCAAAACTATGGACGAACGCGGATGAATAAAAAAAAAAAGGGTAAGTCGTTTCCTTTTCGAAAAACTCTAATATTTTATCGTAAGGTTAATGGAAGAATCAATTAAAAGAAAATCGATCGACGACGATTGTATAGTGTATTATTAATGAAGAGAAATAAAATTTCTGTCAATATATAATAATTCGTAATTAAATGATTTTTTATAATTAAGATTATAACCGAGAATTACGTTCGTTTTATTTATAAAAATGGATTATCAATGTCTACATTATTTCTTCAATAGGATTTTCGAAAATGAGATTTTAAAAGGAACGTTTACGATTTTATCGTGATAAATGAAGAGGAGAATCTCGTCGATGATTCGAAGAACGTGTCTTTTTGGGAACAAAATCGATCGTTAATTAGCTATAATTTCGTTGATGAAACAGAGAGATAAGAGCTTTTTCCCTAATGAAACTATGCTAGCGAGAAAGCGAAATAAAGGATATATTGTTAACAAACGAATTAGTTGCTCTTTTGAGAAAATTAATGTTCCGGAAAAACGAAGCTCGAGATTTTTTTTCTTTTATTTATTATATCTTTTCTCTTCTTTTATACCTTTTGTTGGAATTTGATTTTGAATAATGATTTTAATAATTTCTAGTAAAAGCCAGTCATCCATGGAATTTAAATAAATACATACATATAAACACAATTTATATTAAAATATGGATTTAATACTATAAATTTTAAATATTACGTGATTTAAATTAAAATAGATTTGAGATTATAGATTTAAAAATATATATACAATATGTACAAAATTTAAATTAAAATGATTTGATATTTTAATATTTTAAAGTGAAAATAAAATTTCAATTTTTATCTCTCTCTTTCTCTCTCTCTCTCTCTCTCTCTCTCTCTCTCTCTCTCTTGCTTTCTTTCTCTCTCTCTTTTTCTTGACAGATTAAACTATTCTCGGTTTGTTATATTATTTCTTTGAAAATTATTATTAATGAATCGTGACTTTGAAAAAACAAAAAACAATCGAGAGTTGAGTTTTTGTTTTTATACCTTTTCTGAATGATTTTCATTCATCTTATTCAAATTAATGAAAACTAGGAAAGTAACATATATTTTCTAGATTGTATGTAAAATTTCACCCTTTTGGAGAAGCAAAACAAGAGTTACAGTTAAAAAAGAGATAACAATTTTGATCCTTCAAATGGGCATCTGTCGGCCGATGTAGCTTCTCTCTCCTCGTCGAAAGGATTAAAGTGTGCTTTTACGATGTCACATAAAATTAAAAGGACTTAAGTTTTATGAGGGCACCATCGCTACGTCGTAAATATCGATATCTTCATATCGTACACCGCAAACTTTCATTTATGAGTTTTTTTCTTGACTTTTGATGACATATACAATAAAATAAAAGGAGAGATAAGAGAAAGAAACGATCGAAGAAGAAAAGAAATGAATAAACAAAGGAAAACAAAAAAGAAAAGAAAAGAAAAGAAAAGAAAAGAAATTTCGTTTCTCTCGAGATTGTTAATAAAACGTTGTAAATTCGTACGTTTGCCTTTAAATATCTTCTTGTTTATTTGTCATAGAAAATAATCGATGAAACCGACTGTAAATTATTACTTTCATAGATTCTTCGAATTCGATAAGGTAAGTGATACTTGCTATGTTAGCATGAATAATCATTTACGCTTGCACTAGTATCGAAGTTACACTTGAGAAGCGCATCGTTTCTTGAACGCTAATAACGACTATGAACCTTATCCTTAAGAGAAACAACAATGTATGTTCAGAGAAGAGGAAGCAAAAGCGTTTCTGGAGCGGAAGAGGTTTGAATGAACCCATGAAACGGAGGTTTATGGATCGCCTATCCAACCGAGTGGTTTATGCATAAATAAAATCACGTAGTGTACGTGCCTATCTCCTTATGTACTTGCTGACTTTTTTTCGCACTTGCATTAACATAAAATAAAATTGGAAGTTACCACGCCTACGTAACTATTATACCTTCTTTTCTTTTTTTTTTTCTCGGAATTGATAATCAATTTTAGTAAGATCATGTGTGCCTTATAATGTCCATTCTAAAAAAGTCTATAAATCATTAAAAAATACTTGATAAAATTGCCAAACATTAACATTAATTATTTTTAAGTGACATTTTCAATTGAATTTTAATTAACTAATTATGATTATAATAATCGGATTCATTTTATGTTTATTAAATTATATGTTTATAAGTTATAGATCGAATTTTAAATTTATTTATTATAAAAAATAATTACACACACACATATACATACACACACATACATAAAGAATAATTGTAGTAAGATGATTATATTATATTGTGTCATGAAAAAGAATTAATTGATAATAGTATATTTAGTCTTGATTAATTTTAATAAATTATGATGGCGATAAATGAAGGCACAATTAAAGTAATGTAAGTAAGTAAACAAAAAAATGTAATATATTTGAAACAGTTAAAAAATACAAAGAAATGTAGCGAGAGTTTCGAGAATCGGATGAGTGCATAAACAAGCGTGACCTGTACCGCGAACAGTCCATTGTTTAGAAAAGTCAAAGAAATATCATGATTGCGTCACTTTATAGGGTGATACTTCTAATACATATTTAATGAATTTGATTTTTGAATATAAAAATAATATTAAGTTTGAATTTATAATAAGAGTTTATGAAGTATTTAAAATTATTACATATTATATAATAAATAAATAATATTATATAAAATATAATAAATGTAATTTGCCTCCATAAATAGACTGTCATTCAATATAATATATTGAAAAATTTTAATAAATATATATATATATGTATATATATATTTTTATAGCTATATAATTTACGTAGGAAACACTTCTTTGAAAGTATTTTTACGTTCAATCTCGAATGAGGTCAACTTCCGAAACATATCTCTTCCTCTCTCTTTTTCAATCTTGCCCTCTTAGGTCAGTGGTAAATCTGAGTATAGTGGCGCGAAAACAGAAAAGAGAGAATATGGGCCAACCTTGCAACTTAAAGGGGTTCACATCATCACGTATGCACTAGTAATTGCGTCGTCGTCGGAGCAACGGAGAGGAAGAAGAAGGCAAAAAAAAGTATGACGGTCAACTCAACGAAAGTTTTACGAAAGAATTTCATAAGAATTATATTAAATTTACGTAAAAACGTTTCTTTTAATCGTTTGTTATTTTTAATTTATTCATTGTCATAACTTTTTCAATAGAGTTAGATTTACTTTAAGATTAACTGTTATATTAAATTATTCTTTTTTCAAGTTGTTCTCCAAAATTAATTTAAAATTAAAATACTTTTATCGTTTCGACGTAACAAAAATCAGTATTTTCAGTATAACTTTTTTTGTTATATTATATAGACTCAATTAATCAAGAAACTGACAAGAAAATGCTTGGAATTAATTTTCATTGGCAAATAGTTTGCTTGCTCTAAAAGTTTAACTTTGGTAATATGAATAGGGATCTTTACATTTCTTATTATTTATTTGTTCTTATTAATTATTTCGATGAACTACCACGTATTAATAACCACGTCTTAATCACGTTTACAGATTGTCGCGGCTTCAATCAATTTATCTCCAACAACTCTACTCTTACTTTGTCTCCTAGTTCATTTGTCTGGAAAGAGAAGGAGAGAGAGAGAGAGAGAGAGAGAGAGAGAGAGAGAGAGAGAGAGAGAGAGAGAGAGAAGTTTCTATAGTTATTATATTGGAAGAAAAAGTAACAAATAGACAGGTTATCTAAGTTCTGTATCTATCTTGCATAAAATTAATACAGTATTAATAAATATTAAACAGTATTCATAAATATTAAAGATTATCGATCATAAAAATCTTAATAATGATAGGTATATGTGGTATGAATTAATTATTAATAATTTTAATTATTATAATTGATATATGAGTGACAATGAAGAAAAAATGTATAATATTACCAGTAAAAAATATTTTGTATTATATGCATATACGATATATTGAACAAGAGACGGAATACATACACACACATCACACCATACCACACACATACATACACATAGACATGTGGTCGAAATTCTCGGAACTTGATTAAAACGTCTCTACAAATTAATTCGCGGTTGTGTGTTTACGCCGATACTCGTCACCTAACGGGAGACAATTTCGGAGTTGGTCAAATTACGCCGAGAGCCAATCTCCGAAAATACATTTGAGTATTCCCGTACTACTATTACGTGTGTCGTACTTGACTTATTAATCAAGATTCATTAGAATCTTCACTATGATAAATGTAATTATTTTATGTTATACTTAATATATTTCATACTACTACATACTCTATATATGTTTTTATATTATATGTCATTTATTATTATTGATTTTATTGATACTTTATCCTTTTGGATTGAATGTTGATGAGAATATACGCGTTCTGTCATCAGTCGTGCATATCCGATTTATTCACCAATATTACATATATTCGATTAATGAGACTTTGATGATTCGTTTAATTTGTTAAACCAATGAAACGTACAATATTACGAGCAGTAAAATTGATATCGATTACAATATTAATGTGTATTATAATTATACAGATAATAGGATGATGAACATTTTCATATTACAAGTAATAATTCGATTGTATAATAAAGAATACATTTTTACAGATTCTATTAAAAAATAATTCATTCCTTTTTTCGAATTAATTCTTACATTTGGAATTTCCTCTTTTTTTTTTTTTAATATTTCTCCAATATGTTAACATTTTTCGAAAGGATTTATCAAATTAAATTATCAAAGGGAATGTTATGATTTTTAATAAATTTGGAAAAATTAAAAGAGAGAGAGAGAGAGAGAGAGAAGAAGAGAGAAAATATATAAAAACATAATTTTTTCATAATAGAGTATTAAATTTAATTCGAAGGATAGCCAGAGAGAAAGAAAAAAGCATTATTAATTAAACAATTTATATCTTCAATATTTAAAGGCAAACTGGCATACCTTTTTTAAGCGATCTGTTTACATGCATTAAGATGAAGAAATATCTATTTACGCGCTTATATGATGTCATTATTATTAATTAGAACAGATCAAAGAGTTTCGAAGAAGAACATGAAGTCGATAACGTGAAAAAGATG